TCTAGCCCAGGCAATAGACTGAGACTCTGTCTCAAAAATAAATTAGTTATATAAATAAATAAATAAAGTGGCCGCAGGTGAGGGGCAGGCTGCCCAGAGGGCATGGTGTTTGCTCAGCACTTGGCCCTGACCACTGAGCCAGGCCAACTTCTGCCCTGGGGCTCTGGCCCCCTGTGGGCTGTGGGGAACAGGCAGAGAGGCCCACTCCCTGGACAGTGGCCCAGGAGGAGGAGGCCGGCGGGAGCTGGGTTTGCGCAGGCCAGGGTAGCCTGGGAAGAGGAAGCTGTTGTTTGTGCACGTGAGGCCGGGCGCGCCCCCTCGCTCACTCAGGCGTGCTTGGCCTCTGGTGCCTCCGCTCCCAGGGGCTGCGTTTCCCAGAACTCTGCTCCCCAGGCAGGAGCTTCAGGGCAGGGAGGCCCTCGGAGACCAGCTCCAACTCCCCCAGTTTACAGAGGAAGCCAGGGGACAGGCCTGAGGTCAGCTGGGGAGTGGCCAAGTCAGGACGGGGCTCTTCAGAAACCCTGGCTAACCACTCCCGCCTCCAGCTGTGCAGGGACCAGACCGCTGGCGCTGCGCCTACTGCCCGTCTCCCTGCGAGACGGCAAGTCACAGAGCGGGGACTGGCCTTCTCTCCACTCCTGGAGCCAGGCGGAGGGCCTGGTTCTGAAGCGGCTCACGAGTCCATGACCAGGCGAGTCACACTCCCCACCCCCAAGGCAGCGCCCCTCTATGTCTTGTCCCCAACCCCACTGTGCTGTGAGTCTGGCTTTTTGCAGAATCAGAGAGAGTGTGATTTTTTTCTTTTTTTGAGACAGGGTCTCACTCTGTCACCCAGGCTGGAGGGCAGTGGCCTCATCATAGCTCACTACAGCCTCCAATTCCCGGGCTCAAATGATCCTCCTGTCTCAGCCTCTCATAATGCTGGGATTCCAGCCATGAGCCACTGCACCCAGCCTAGAGAGTGAGATGTTTTTAGTCTCCTAGACCCATCTCCCCTCCAGGAAACTCAGTAAAAAGCTTTGGAATAAAGGGATGGGCCCCGGGTGGGAGGTGGAGGACCTCAGATGCAGGGTGACCCAGCATCCTGGTTTGCCTGACATGAGAGGGTCTTCTGAGACACGGGACTCAGTGCTAAAGGAAGTACACATTGGTCACCGTGGTGCTGACTCTGCCACTCACTGCGTAACCAGGGGGATGTCGCTTCACCTCTCACGCCTCACAGGTCTATCTGGAAAATAGGGTCAACATCCATCCCATGTCCCTCCCAGTTGCCATGGAGCTCTGGGTGATTGAGAACAGTAGGTTAGAATGTGCTGCATCCCTGCAGATATGAGGGTTGGTGGCCATCACAGCGAGGGACCTCCTCTTCTCTCCCACCCCCACTGCCTGAAATTCATTCATTCACCAACAAACACTGGTTCACCACCTACTATGTGCCATGGGGCATGCATGGCTCGGAAGGGAAGAGCCCGGCCCTCAGGCAACACGTACCCACAACAGGTGCATGGGTAATTAGAGCACAGTAAGATGCATTTGTTCAATGAGCAGCTACTATATGCCAAGCCCTGTCTTAAGCATTTCACAAACAGTAACTCATTGGATCCTCACAGTAACACAGCAAGGTGGGGATTACTTGACTCCTATTTTGCAGATGAGGAAATTGACACTCAGAAAGGTTAAATAACCAGTAGAAATGTCAGGAAGAGGACACTAAGAAGCATCTTTTTGAAGAATAAGCATGTGTCTGGGTGTGTGCAAAGGAGGGGCTCCCAGAAGGCAGCAGCAGCCGCCAAGTTGGGAGCAAGGAACAGCATGCTGCGACCAGGGAACTGTGACCGAGAGGCCTGTGTGCTGAGCCCAGGGATGGCTCTTATCCTGGGTGACCGGGCGGCTGAGAAGGGCTTTAAGGAGTGGAGGGCTGGTAGCAGAGGAGCCACTGGGCAGATTTGGGTTGCAAGGATCTGGGCTGCCAGGAGAGCTTGGGGGAGAAGGCAGGAGGCACGGAGATCAGTGGGCTGCCTCACGCTCTCGCCTTCCTCTTAGGGTTAAAGTCTTGTCCCGCCAAGAAGGGCCCAGTTAGCCCGACACTTCCGATGGCTCAAAGGCTAAAGTTTAGCGAGGCGCAGGCTCAGCCTTTGTGCCAGCCCAAGAAAGGCGCCCGCCTGGGGCGGCCGGGTCAGGGTAGGCTCACCATCTGAGCCTCAGGCTGCGAAACTGAGTGCTCCAACGTGGAGGTCACTCAAAGGCCCCTCCCCGGCTACACAGTGAGGACCTGCAGCCTGGTGGGGTGAGGGGAGAAACGCCCCACAGCCACCAGGGAGTCAGCGCCCTAGCCGGCCTGGCTGGGGAGGGCAGGCCCAGGGTTTCTGCAAGCGGAGCCCCTGTGGGGCGGAGCCGGGCGGATCTCAGCCTGGGTAGGGGCCCCTCGAGGGGAGCCCTTCCCCAGGAGTTAGGGCGGGCCTCGGGGCGGGGCCCACAAGGCGGGACGCCCCGCCCACGGCCAGCCCGGCCCCGCCCCTCCTGCGCTTCGCCTGCCCATATAAGGCGAGCGCGCCCCTGACGAGGCGGCTGTCGTCACCTGCGTCCGCCAGTCCAGGGCGTCTTCCCAAGGCCACGCCCCTGCGCCTTCCGGCCCGGAAGTGCCGCTCCGCCCCAAGTCCGCGAGAAAGCTGCCCCGGGGCGCGGGCTCGGTCTGCGGGAACTCTCCCCAACCACGCCCGCGGGCCGCGCACCTGCGTCCGGATGCGCTGGGGCTGGGCCCGGGGGCGAGCCGGGAGGGGTTGGCAGGCCAGAAAGTGTGTGTAGTGGGACATGGGGGGCATGTCCCGGGCTACCCAAAAGCCAGGAGTAGGGGTGGGAGGAAAATCAGCCTCCCTCTAGGGCTGCCCAGCCCTCCAGGCACTTGCTAAAGGCCCCGCATTGAACTCACCTTTGAAAATGTTAATCTGCATACACCGGGAGCTCTGCAGCTGTGGCGTGCGGCTCAGTAAAAGCCGATACAATAGAGCTGCCAGTCCGGGTTCGAATCTGGCTAGGTTGCTTACTGGCTTGGTGAACTGCAGGCAAGCTGTGTAATTTTTCTGTGCCTCAGTTTCCTAGTCTGTAATGTGGGGATCATAATGGCTCATTCCTCGGGGTCGTGGTGACCATTAAATGTGTTAATAAAAGTCAGCACTTTTCCGGAGGTTTCAGAAGAGTTGTTTGCTAGTCCTTGATGCGCAGTTGATCCCAAAAAGGCCAAGTCCCCAAGGGGCAGAGATGAGACCAAACCCCGGTGTCTGTGACTAAACTCAGCCTCAGTTCCTGGTCTTGTCTGCCAATGTTGGGGGATGCAGGTGCAGCTTTTTAGAACCTGAGGACTTATTTTTCACCTTGCAGTAAATCCTGCAAGGGTCAAGGAGTAGGTCTGGTGCTAGGTTGTTATCTCTCCTTAACAATCTCCCTTTTCAGCAATAGAAAGTCCTTCAACTGGGAGGCTTGGGCAGGAGAGTAGAGCTAGGTAAATTTAATTACATGACTTTATTTTGATGATTTTAGCGTTTCCATTGAGAGTTTAGAATTACTATGCTGCATGGTAGTGGCATAATATTCACTTAATCTTTTTATTTTATTTTATTTTTTTACTTCTTTTTTTTTTGAGACAGAGTCTCACTCTGTTGCTACAGCTAGAGTGCGGTGCTCTCAGCCTAGCTCACAGCAACCTCAAACTCCTGGGCTAAAGCATCCTTCTAGGCTGGGTGCGGTGGCTCACGCCTGTAATCCTAGCACTCTGGGAGGCCGAGGCGGCAGATCGATCAAGGTCAGGAGTTTGAAACCAGCCTGAGCAAGAGCGAGACTGTGTCTCTACTATAAATAGAAAGAAATTAATTGGCCAACTAATATATATAGAAAAAACATGCCTATAGTCCCAGCTACTCGGGAGGCTGATGCAGGAGGATTGCTTGAGCCCAGGAGTTTGAGGTTGCTGTGAGCTAGGCTGATGCCACGACACTCACTCTAGCCTGGGCAACAAAGCGAGACTCTGTCTCAAAATAAATAAATAAATAAATAAAAATAGAAAGAAATTCATTGGTCAACTAAAAATATATAGAAAAAATTAGCTGGGCATGGTGGCGCATGCCTGTAGTCCCAGCTACTTGGGAGGCTGAGGCAGGAGGAACCCCTGAGCCCAGGAGTTTGAGGTTGGTGTGAGCTAGGCTGATGCCACGGCACTCCAGCTTGGGCAACAGTGTGTGAGACTCTGTCTAAAAAATATAAAGCGCTCCTTCTGTCTCAGCCTCCCTAGTAGCTGGGACTACAGGCATGTGCCACTATGCCCGGCTAATTTTTTCTCTATATATTAGTTGGCCAATTAATTTCTTTCTATTTTTAGTAGAGACGGGGTCTCACTCTTGCTCAGGCTGATTTCAAACTCCTGACCTTGAGGATCCACCCACCTTGGCCTCCCAGAGTGCCAGGATTATAGGCGTGAGCCACCTGCCCGGCCTCACTTAATCTTTTTAGTATGAAAATGTTCAGACAGACACACAAGGGTAGAGAATGTAGTACAATGAATGACTCCTAACATTCACATGTTTAAAAACATATAAATGTGTTAAAATGTGAGCTGACTGAAAAAAGAAGATAAAAGTACAGGGTGTGTTTATTAGGGATCCACAGCTGTGAAGGAAGAAAAAAAAGAAAAGTGCAAGGGGTGTAAGGACAAAACAACGTGTTAACAACTGTGGCTGGTCTGGCACTGGGAGGGGGCGTCTGGGCCCCTGGCAGCCTCAGCCCTGGCTCTGCTGGGTGGCACACACCTGCCTCGCGCAAATTCCTCCCCACCAGAGCGCCCCACTTGGCTGCCTCCAGACTCAAGTCTCCCCGCCTGGGTTGTTACTGCCTCCGCTCTCTTGCTGCCCACCTGGCCCCAGGTGTCCACCTTGAACACCAGAGCCTGAGGAATTGTCTAAACCATGAACCTGATTATCTGTCTCTTTCCCCTTTCAATTCCGCAGTGCATGCAGGAGCAAGACCCAGCCCTTAGCCAGGCACACGTGTCCGCTGTGGTCTGGAGCCACAGACCTCTGGGCCCCTTCTGCCATCTCCTCTTGACACTTTACTCTCAGGCCAACCTGGACCATTGGCAGCTTCCTGAGGAGTCATTCAGTAAAGATTTCATGTGTCAGGACGCCGCACCTGCTGCTGCTCAGCGATGGCGATGGTGAGCAGGCCAGCAGGCGACGTCCACGCCCTCTCCTGGAGTTTACCGTCTACCGGGGGAGTGAAATGTGTGTAACTATGAAACTTTTTTTTTTTAATATAGAAACGGGGTCTCATTGTGTTCTCTGAGGCCCAGACTAGAGCGCAGTGGCACAATAACTTCCAACTCCAGGGCTCAAGCGATCTGGTCTCCAACTCCTGGCCTGAAGGGGTCCTCCTCCCACCTCTGCCACCCCAGGTGCTGGGATTGCAGGCATGAGCAACTGCACCTGGCCCATAAATGTGAAATTTTAAAAAAATACAGCATGTGCCATAAAGGACCTACATGTTACCAAAAGAGTTTTTGCCTTTTGCCTGGAAGACCCCCAACCCTACCCTACCCTGCTTGCTTGGTGACGCTTGTCACCCTCTTAGATGCCTGTACAGTGTCATCAGCTCTGTAGGATCCCCTTGCAATGCCTTTCCTGGTGCCGTTATCACACTGGGGCGGGATTTACATGCCTGTCTCCCACATTTGACCATGAGATCCTCAAGGAAAGTGGCCTTACTCTGGTGGTCTGTGGTCCCCAGAAGCTTGTGAGGTACGCAGTGCCTAGTCCCTGCACGTAATTGTTGGGTAGCCATGACAGCAGCCTCTGCACTAGGACCCCATCCCCACGAAGCAAGAGTTCAGCCACTCATTTTCTTCATTCATCCATTAAATCAGAGTGGGCCACTTCCCCTCCTTCTGCCAGAGCCTGATGTGGACCAGCTGACTTATGAGGGGGAGTGCTGTGCTGCGGCAGATCGGGGGCTGCCAACGGTGAAGGAAGGGGTCCTCCTGCCTGGTCCCAGGGTGAGTGGCAAAGGAAGGGACACTTGAACAGCACCTCCTTGGGTGAAGGAAGGGTTGGGCGTCAGGGTGGTTGGGGGATGTGAAGGAAGTGGAGAGGTGAGCGGGTGCAGCCGCCAGGATGGGGCCCCCAGCGGGTGTGGCAGAGCACGTGGTCGGGTGTGGGCAGGAGCTGAGGACAGTATTACAGCAAGCCCGGCCAAACGGGGAGGGCCCTGCTGCCGGCTCGCTTTCCCCTGCTGTGAACAGGGGACTTAGACAGGATCCAAGGTTTGGGGACTGTGATCAGGAGGCAGAAAGGGAAAGGCACTAAGTCACACCCTGGCACGACGCACAAAATCGAAGTGAGCCTCATGAGACAGTTTACTCTTCCTGCCTAGGCTGTGCGCTCTTCTGTTTTATCACCATCATTGTCATTAGCTGACTTACTCATTTCAAGATCCACCAGTGGGTCACAACCTGCAGTTTGAAAAACATTGATCTCAGCATCCTTCCTGTCCCAGGCCCAGTGGTCTAGGAGTGGCTGTGAGGCCCCCTCAGGTTCATTAAGTAATTTAACTTTTAGGATCCCGGCAAGGACTGTTCACTCCACAGCTACTTTAATTTGTAAAGCAGGGTAGGAGGGAGAGGTGGGTCCAGCAGCCTCCTGCCCGCACGGTCAGAAGACCCCGTGGCTGCAGGGCTGGCTCCCGGCTGGGTCTGAGATCCAAACAGAAGGGGAAAGAGCAACTGCAGGACGTTTCCACCACCGTTTCTTCCCTGCCCCGCACCCTCACTCCACCCCCAGCTCTGAGAAGTCTCCACTTGGCAACCAGTTCACTTGCCAGGCCAGCTTCAGATGCCACCAGCCCTGGCAGTGTGTGGGGGCGTGGTGGGAAGAGGAAGGGTAGTTGAGGCCCCAGCTGGGTTTGGCCTCTGTCCCCTCACCCGGGGCCAATCCTCCCCTCCCCTGCATAGGGGACGGCTCTTGCTTGTGCCAACCATTTTGCCTGCAGGCCTGGCATTTTGGCTTAGCAGAGGGTGGGTACAGGGGTCAGAGTCCCCACTGGTACTCCCACCTCAGCCTCGTCCAAGTCCCACTTCCATCTGGGGTCTCTGAGGCCTCTGGAGAGATTGGGGAAACCTAGGTGGGTGTGGCACCGAATCATAACCTAATCATCAACATAGGACATTGGAGCCAGAAGGGACCATAGAAGTGGAACCCAACTGCCTTCTTTTATCAATGTGGAAACTGAGGCCCAGAAAGGGGGAGGAACTCACCCAGGGTCACGCAGGAGTTGGTCTCAGAGTGAGTGTTGGAGACTCAGGTCTCCTGACTCCAAACCCAGGGCCCTTTCTTTTCTCTCTCTGTGTTGGGGTCTGTTAGGGAAGGGGGCTTGTGGAAGCGTCCAGTCTGGGAGGCGTGCTGAGATTCTGCCAGCCTCCTCCTGGGGCCCTGCTTCAGTCCCCGCACAGCTGGGCTGGGGAACCGGGGTGTGGGCAGGGGGTGTCCTGCAGCCCTTCCGGCTCTGAGCCTGTGCCTCCCTGGCCTCTCGTTTCTGTGTGTATGGGGGGTTGGGGGTCCCTCCCACCTGGAAGAGTGACAGGAGGAGGATAAAACCCGTGAGAACCTGTTTTCTCCCAGGAACTTGCTGCTTCCCTGGGGCCTCAGGATTAGGAGAGTAGCTTCCAGTCCTTTCTTTCTGGAGACACAGGATATGGCAGAGGTCCCTCCCCGCCCCCCACCCTGTCACCCTGGCTTCCTGAGCCCTTGAGATACACTTTGCCTTCTCAGTTCAATTTCATTTTCCTCTGTGGGTGTCTGGGCTCCAACTGGACCCACACTTCCTACCGGGGCAGGGCTGAGATCTGTGTCTGCATCAGGGACTCTTACAGCGGGGAGGCGGTGTACGTCCTGGTTAAGACCTGGGGCTCTCCGTGTAAAATGCCCAGGTTCAAACCCCCCTGCTGGCCTGCTGGTAGTCATGGGAGTGGCTTACTTAGCCTCTCTGGGCTCAGAGTCCTTATCTGTGCACTGAGGGTAATCGTGGTCACTTTGAAAACTAAATGAAGGACGATATGTGACACCCTCAGGGCTGTGGCCGGGACATAGCAGGCATCAATAATGATGTGTTGCGTGGATATGCGACCTGGTCCGAGGGCCCCCAGGAAGAAGAGAAGTCACATTGCTGGTCCCGGAACTGTGCGTAGGGCTTCACCTGCGTCGTCCCAAAGTGCCAAACAGGGACCTGTGAGATAAACGTGTCTGTGGCCTCACGTCACAGACAGGACCCCTGAGGCTTGGAGAGTGAAGGGACTTGCCTTGGTCACAGCCAGAGGAGAGGGAGTCAAACCCCGGACTCGCTGGCCACTGCCGAGGGGGGCCCTCCGGGGGGGGCCCTCCCTCCCTTTCCCCCCAGATGGACACCCAGGCCGCCTTTTCTCAAGTCCCAACTAAAGAGATTTCCCAAGTCGAACAGCTCTAATCGTTGGGCTCCTCCTCCTTCTAGTGAAACTATACAATGTCAGTGTGGGTTCTTTCCAGCCCTGAAACTGACTCTGAATAATTAGGCAGGATGAAAATGGAGGCAGAGGGACTGAGCGGAACAGCCTGCTGATGGCTGAGTGGCTGGGACAGAGGGAGGCCCATGCCCGCCTTCAGAGAGCAGCCACACGCCAGGGACACGCCTCCCAGGCTGCGAGGCTTCTGTGCCTTTGGCTGTTGGTCCCGATAGAGATGTGGAGATGTGTCGGGGTTAGGAGTGTGTGAGCTGAGTCTGGAGAGGCCCACAGATGCGGTTCCAGCCCTGGCCCCAGCACTTCCCTGGCCGAGTTTGGGGACCACCGCTCCAGGATGTGGCCTGGCTGCTGTAACTCTCAATGCCCCCCCACCCCCAGTGTCTCTCATCAGGGTTCAATTTCTGGAAAAGAGAGTTGGGTTGCCTAGTTTGGGCCCAGGCCTGGCCCTGGGTAGGAGAAGCAGGACCATGTACCTGGCAGTCCCACCATAACCAAATGGAGTGAGGGAGGGGCGGATCCTTGCAAGGGACTGAGTGTTTGTGTCCCCCGTCCCTCCAATTCGTATGTTGAAATCCTAACCCCCAAGGTGATGGTATTGGGAGGGGCAGCCTTTGGGAGGTGATTAGGTCATGAGGGTGAATCCCTCATGAGTGCGATTAGTGCCCTTCCTTGTAAGGGAGACCCAGACCAGGCCCAGCGGCTCATGCCTGTAATCACAGGACTTTGGGAGGCTGAGGTGAGAGGGTTGCTTGATCCCAGGAGTTCAAGATCAACCCGGGCAACATAGTGAGACACTGTCTCTACAAAAAATAAAAACATTATCTGGGTGTGGTGGTACATGCTTGTAGTCCCGGCTATTCAGAAGGCTGAGGCAGGAGGATCACTTGAGCCCACAAGTTCAAGGCTGCAGTAAGCTATGATTGTACCTCTAAACTCCAGCCTGGACAACAGAGTCTCTAAAAGCAAAACAACATGAAATAAAATAGAAGAGGCCCAAGAGAGCTTCCTCACCCCTTCAGCCATATGAGGACACAATGACTGCCATCCATGCAGGCTATTGCCAGCACCTTGATCTTGGACTTCCAGCCTCCAGAACTGTGAGCATGAGAAATTAATTTCTATTGTTATAAGCCACCCAGTTTAAGGTAATTTGTGACAGCAGCCTGAACAGACCAAGGCAATCCCCAAGGGAAGAGGTTGCCACGACCAGAACAGAATGAGAGATGCCAGAAAGGCAAACCCATCTGCCCTAGTCGTGGCCTCCCTGGAAACCAATCTCCCTTTCCCTGCTTTCCTTCTCCCTTCCTTCCTCTTTCCTTCCTCCCTCAAACATTAACTGCTTGCTCTGTTTCAGGCATACTGCTAGGCCCAGTGCCAGCCCTGGGGAACTCATTTAATGCAGATCAGCACACACTGCTCCTTTCCCATGGCAAGCCCAGAGGAGGCATTGCCAATCGAACCCAGCACACTTTTCTTAGAGCCTCGGCTTGACCTAGAGATTCTGCTCTTTCTTCACAGAGCTCCGAGCTGCCAGTTCTCATCAGCTGGAGTCAGTTCAAAATATGGAAACTTTTTGCTGTGCCGGCCAAAACATTCCTCTTTCCCATAACAATTCTTCTGACATTTAAAAACAGCAGAATTCCCCTTCGTTCATCCCCAGGGACATTTCTTCTCCTTGGGGAAAAATGGCATTGGTGCCTTCAACTCCTGACCCCGGCTGAGTCACTTGTGGTTAGGAGTGGAGCCCGGTCCCTGCAGACAGCAAGACCACGCGAGTCCTTCCCCTGCCAGCGCACCTTTCTGAGCCTCAGGTTTTGGGTGAATTCTCTGTGACCACTGTAACAAATTACTACATGCTTAGTGGCTTGAAATAAGACAAATTCCTTGTCTTACAATTTGGAGGTCAGAAGTCTAAAATGAATATTACTATTACTTGGATGTCATGCTGTATTGTACTTGGAAAAGAAAAAGAAAAAAAAATAGAAAATTATATATATATATATATATTTTTTTTTTAAGACAGAATCTCACTCTGTTGCCTGGGCTAGAGTGCCGTGGCATCAGCCTAGCTCACAGCAACCTCAAACTCCTGGGCTCAAGCAATCCTACTGCCTCAGCCCCCTGAGTAGCTGGGACTAAAGGCATGCGCCACCAAGCCCGGCTAATTTTTTCTATATATTTTTATTTGGCCAATTAATCTTTCTATTTTTAGTAGAGATGGGGTCTCGCTCTTGCTCAGGCTGGTCTCAAACTCCCAAGTTCTAATGAAGAATCCACCTGCCTCGGCTTCCCAGAGTGCTAGGATTACAGGCATGAGCCACCACACCTGGTCAAAAATTATATATTTTTAAAAAATGAATCTTATAGAGCTAAAATCAAACTGCTGTCAGTGTTGTGTTCTTTCTGGAGGCTCCAGGTGAGAATCTACTGACTCGGACACTCCACCTCCCTCTTACAACAGCCTTTGTGATGATATCAATTCACAGATCATCCAGAAGAATCTCTCAATCTCCAGATCCTTAACAAACTCCTACCTGTAAAGTTCCTTTGTTATATAGGGTTCCAATCCAGGCACTGGAACATGACATGTTTGGGACCATTATTTTGTCTACCATGGGTTCCTTACCTGTGAAGTAGGGGTATTGATACCCTTCTCTGTGGGCTTGTGGGGAAAATTATGTCAGATGATTCATGTGAAGCATTTAGCGAAATGCCTGGCATAAGAAAAGCATTTGATATTTTGCATTTCGTGAAGTTTGGGCCCGGCGTGGTGGCTCACACCTGTAATCCTAGCACATTGGGAAGCTGAGGTGGGAGTCTTGCTTGAGGACAGTTCAAGACCAGCCTGGGCAACTTAGCAAGACCCCATTTCTACAAAAGATAAGAAACATTAGCTGGGTGTGGTATTGTGCACCTGTAGACCCAGCTACTCAGGAGGCTGAGGCAGGGGGATCACTTGAGCCCAGAAGTTGGAAGCTGTAGGGAGCTACCATGATGCCATTGCACTCTAGCCTGGGCAACAGAGCAAGACCTTGTCTCAAAAACAAAACAAAACAACAAAAAGCAGGGACTTTGTATTTAGTGTCCTTTCCAGACTCTGTTCTGCAGCTCCCCACCCAGGTCTCCCAGCGGTTTATAGAGACCCTTGGTTTCGGAGAGGACTGCTTCCAGCACAAGCAGCTTCGGAACAAGCGAGCTAGGGAGCTTGTTGGAAACGCGCGTGCTCAGTCCCACCCCAGACTAAAGCAGAAACTGCAGGGGTGGGGCCCAGCGATCTGGATTAGAGGGAGCCCTGGGGGGATGCTAGAGCTCCCTTAAGTGTGAAAACCCTTGGGTGGTGCAATCTTCTGAAGCAATCCCGCCTGCAAGGCAGATACTGGGCCAGTAGCTCCATTTCTCAGGTGAAGACGTTAAGGCTCAGGGAGGTGAGTGGCTTGCCTCAGGCCACGCAGGTGGGTGGTCGAGCTTGCCTTGGCACCTGGGCAAAGCCAGTGCTTCTGCCACATCACTATATACTCCACCTTGGGCACCTCCCTTCTCAGTGCCACCTTGACACAGGGCCCAGGGCCAGGTGCTGCCGGGGAAGACCCACCCCACTGTTCCTAGGACAGAGCCCAAGCCCAGGGACCTCTCCCTCCCCACCTGGGCAGGGCCCTGCATTTACCTAGCAGGCTGAGGGCCAGATAACTAATTTAAACAGAAGTGTAAATGGCTGATAAAGACTTCAGGGCCACCTGTTCCTCCTAAGGGGATGTTCTTGGTAACCAGGCAGGAATGCAGCACCTTGTCAGGAATGTCCTTAGGTGGGAAGGCTGTGGGTCTCCTGAGCCTCTGGGGGTGGGGATGATGTCATGGAAACAGCTCAGGGCACTACTGAGGCTGGGACATCACTGCCTACGGACCGGACCGTAGGCAAGTCGCTTCTTTTCCCCAAGCCTTCATTCTCTTGCCTGTAAATGAGCATAATTCCTCCCTCCATGGGGAGGCATACGTAAGCTGGCCTTTGTCAGGTGGTCCTCTCCTTCCCAAGTCACCCTGGCTGGCTGCTGAAAGCTGAGCCCACGCAGGGCAGAGTCACCCAGGCTACACAGCAGGGAGGCCCAGAGGAGAACCCTTTTCCTGCCTGGCACAGCACCCATCTATACCACCTGCCAAAGGACTGACTGCCCAGGATTGGAGTGCCTGGCAAGACCCTGCTTCTGGAAGCCGGTGCAGCCCTGAGCTCCCAGCCCTGTAGGGTGCGGTGGGGCTGGGACTGGGCTGGGACTCAGGGGTGCTCCTGGCTTTGCCACTGACTTGCTGTGTGACCCAGACAATTGTCAGTCCCTCTCTGGGCCTGAAGCCTTGCCCGGAAAACCTGGATGAGATGTAGGGATGTATGAAGGCCCCTCCCACGCTAGCTGGACACCGGATATGGTAATGAAGCACTTTTGCTGGAGTTGTTTCCTGCTGAGGGCCTTCTAGGATGTGCTGATGGGCTGTTTTTCTCCCCTGCAGGACTGGAGGTTCTTCCAGGGCAGGCGGGGTGTCTGTGCCTCCTCTTCTGCCTTCAGCCCTGCGCCCAGCCCCAGCCCTGCGCCCAGCCCTGCACATCACGTGCTCAGCCAAGACCCTCGCTCTGCTCCGGACAGCACTTTGCTTACAACCCTCAGGTAGGCAAACACTGTCTCAGTCAGGTAAACACCTGTGCCCAGCAGGAGAAACTTCCAGAAGATGACGGAGCAAGCTCTCTAGAACATGCCTCTGTTCAACCCTCACCCCCTCCAGAACGAGGTCCACACTGCCGGTCACCAAACCCTACAAACCTGGCCTCGGGCACCTTTCCAGCCTCATCTCCCTTCCGGACTCTGGGCCTTTGCTCAGGCTGGTCCCCAGGGCTCCCCCTGGAATGCTGTTCCCTCTTCAGCTCAGGTGTCACCTCCTCCAGGAAGCCTTCCAGGAGGTCACCTCCTGCAAACACACAGAGTTTTCTCCTCCCCCACACTTCTCCCCCTGTCTGATCTGCCCAGTGGCTCTCACTGTTCCTAGTGCAGTGCCTGGCGCACCCATAAATGGGTGTCAGATCCACTGGAATTACAGTCTAAGGGGAGAGACAGTGGGGGGTGGGTGGAGAGGGAGATAAAAGGGACAAGAGACTTTTCCCAGAGACAGGGGCCGCAGCTGGAAGCGTCTCTTCCCCAGGAAGGCCGGCAGATGGCAAACAGCTGGTGGCCAGGGTAGCTGTGACTCACTCACAACCCGGTGGGCGGGCAATGGTGGGCGGGCAATGGCAGACCGGCTGAGTCAGGAGTCCAAAGCCCACAAGAATTTTGATAAGGAAAGACAAGGCCTGGAGTATTTCCAGAATGCAGGGGGTTAAGGGTGCGGGGAGCTGGGTCAGAACAAAACTGACTAATTATGTTACTTATTTGTTTTTTGCCTGGATAAAGCATTCACATGGTACAACATTCAAAAGGTGCAAAGGTGACCACAGCAAGACGCCCTCCACCCTATCCTATTCCTGCCACCCTTCCCGGAAGCAGCCTGTGTTTCTTGTTGCTTATACTTATGTCCTCTCTGTGTCCTTTTTCCACTTTGTAACACATGGAAGCATGTTCTTCATTTTATTTTTCCAGAGATGGGGTCTCACTGTGTTGCCCAGGCTGGTCTCAAACTCCTGGGCTCAGGTGATCCATCCTGCCTCAGCTCCCAGAGTAGCTGGGACTGCAGGCATGAACCACTGCGCCCAACGCTTTCGTTTCTTCCCTCCACATATCTTGGAGAATGCTATAGTCTTGAGTGTTTCCCCCCTAAAAATTTATGTGTTGAAACTTACCCCCCAGTGTGACAGTATGAAGGGGTGGGACTTCTGGGAGGTGATTAGGTCATGAGGGCTCTGTCCTCATGGGATCAGTGTCCTTGTGAAAGAGCCCGGAGGGAGCTTGTTAGCCCCTTGTCACTTCCACCAAGTGAGGACACGCAGACGGCACCATGTATGAGGAACAGACGTTTACCAGACACCACATCTGCTGGTGCCTTGATCTTGCACTTCCAGCCTCCAGAACTGTGGGCAATACATTTCTGTCGTTTATAAATGACCCAGTGCAAGGTATTTCATTACAGCAACCTGAACGAAGACAGACTAAGACAGAAAGCGTTTCATATTAGCACATGGAGCTTTCTCATTGTTTTCTTTGACTGCATTTAGGGCTGCCAGGTAAAATACAGGATGCCCAGTTAAACTTGTATTATCTGAGTTTCCAACACATGGTAAATAATTTTTTAGTATAAATTTTTCCCATGCAGGCCGGGCGCGGTGGCTCACGCCTGTAATCCTAGCACACTGGGAGGCCGAGGTGGGAGGATCGCTCGAGGTCAGGAGTTTGAAACCAGCCTGAGCAAGAACGAGACCCCGTCTCTACTATAAATAGAAAGAAATTAATTGGCCAACTAAAAAATATATATATATAAAATGAGCCGGGCATGGTGGCACATGCCTGTAGTCCCAGCTACTCGGGAGGCTGAGGCAGAAGGATTGCTTGAGCCCAGGAGTTTGAGGTTGCTGTGAGCTAGGCTGACGCCACGGCACTCACTCTAGCCTGGGCAACAAGTGAGACTCTGTCTCAGAAAAAAAAAAAAAATTTCCCATGCAATATTTGGGACATATTTATACTTAACAACTATTTGTTGTGTATCTGAAGTTCAGATTTAACCAGGTGTCCTGTGTTTTTGTTGACTCTAGCACGCTCGTTGCTTTATACGGGAACTCCCTACGGTTCAGTCTTTGGGGCCTTCGGGACCAGGGTGCCTGGACCTGGTGGGCGTCCACTCGAGGCGTCCACTCCAGGGCTTGGGGCCGGTGCTGGATTTCCACCCGCAGCCGCAGTTACTGCAGAAAGAAGTGAAAGGGCCTTGGTCACCTTGTCCACCTGCCTCGTGTGAGGCCCCAAGAAGGGAGTGACTCACGTAAGATCACACAGCAAGTCAGGGGCGGGGCGGGGCGGGGCGGGGCCCTGCTCTCCTGCCTCTGGCCAGGCTTTTCCTCACACTGCTCGGCAAGGTACCTGTGGATTGCCAGCCACTGTCTGCAGCCTAAGCTTCCGGACCACGCACAGACACTCGGGAGCCAGAGCAAAGTGCTCCAAGTTCCGTGGGGACAGGCTGGCCCCCAGGACGCCTGTGCCCAACCTCCAGAAGGCCGGGCCGAGGGCGCTCATGATAACAGCAGCAGCTCCGCTGTTGGATGCTCACTCTGTGCTGGTGCTTTGTGTCATTTGTCCCTTTGAGCGTCACAGAGGGCCCTGCACAGACAAATCTCATCAGTCCCATTTCCCTGACCCGGACACTGAGGCTCAGAAGGGACATATTATTTTATTATTTGCCAAGATCCTCCAGTCGGGAAGTGGCAGTGCTGGAATTTCACCCCAAACATGTTTGACGCCAAGGCTCAAACTCTTCCCACTGGGATTGTTAGCCTTATCAGCAGATTTGTGCCATTTCTCAAGTGAGAGAACTGAGTCCTGTGACAAGCCCTCTGCCTGTGAGGCCCAAAGCAGGGGTAAACTTCCTGTCCCGCGGCCTACAGGGTGAAGGCCAAGGGCTCACTGGTCCCTCGGTGACCTTTGATGCCCACAGCTACCGTGCCCCTGCCCTCTTCTCCCTGCTGGTCTCCGGCTGTTCTGGCTGTCTCCCCTGCAGGCCAGCCCCTTTCCTTGCCCTCCCACCTGTACACTTTCATGCTTTGGGCCAAGGGGGGAAAGTCTAGTAAAAGAACCAGTTCTTAATATCAGCTTAGTCATTCACTTGCTGTGTGACCATGGGCAAGTCACCTGCCCTCTCTGAGTCGTTCTTTGCTCAGCTGTAAAGTGGGCAAGGTACACCTAAGAATACACCTAAGTCTTATTCTAGCACCCATTGGCTGATTAATATGCGCTGGTTGAAGAAAGGAAGGGGGATATTTATTGTACCAGACCCCGTGAGTGAGAGATGCCAAGGACACTGGAGACCCAGGGGACCCAGTTGCTGCTTTCCTGGAGATTTTTCTCAAAGTAGAGAGTGTGGTTAAGTTGCAGTAGGAGGTTGACTAGCGGGTGCTTTGTGAGTGTGGGCAGGATTCCTCCTGAGCAGAAGACAAGGGCTTCCAGCTAGGAATGGGGGTGGGGAATTACCCTAATTTCACAGAAGGAAGCGGAAAGGAGATTTGCCCGGGGTCACTCAGCTGTAAGTAGTGGGCCTGGGATTCGAACCCAAGGTCTGCTTCTCTCTGGCATCCCCGGGGCTTCCCAGAGGCCTGGCACCTAGTGGACGGTGGGTTGGGAAGCAGTTGGAGCAGGCAGGTGAAAGTGAGACTGGAGGCCCTAGAGAAGGCAGGGGAGGGGCGGGCCTTTTATGGCCCAGCCCTTGGCCCCGTCCCTCCCTCAGGTGTGCCCCTGGACAGGTGTGTCCACGCAGACCCTGGCTGGGCCTCTCTCTTCAACTATCCATGCGCTGGGTCCTTCTAGAGCTTCTCAACCTCCCAGCAGCCCCCATTGCAAAAGGGGCTGGAGGGAGCAGGGAGGGGTGGGGGAGGGGGAGGGGAAGGGATAGGGGAGGGGAAGGCCTGGGGTGGGAGAGGGCAGGTCAAGGAACTGAATTAGAGGCGCACTCAAGGATTCCTTCAAGTCTGTCTTGTTTTCTTAAGAGACCTTGTGAGTTTTGCATTCCACTCCCTAATATATTTGTGTTTGTTTTAATATAACCCAGTTCCCTCCCCTCCTGCCAGTAAAGAGTCCGAGTCTGAGTCTGCAGTGAGCGTCCCACTGGACGGTGCCCAGTGCGGGTCCTGCGCTCCGGCACAGCGGGGTCCCTGGCCCACAGGCACCCTCTTCCCTCCCCACGCTGTCACCCCCTCCTCCCTGCTCAGAGCTTAGCCTCTCCCCATGCCACTAAAGTCCCCTGCGCTGACCTCCCTATGCCACCCGTCTCTGCATCACTGCCCTCTGTTTCGGTGGCTACCTTTGCCGCTTGGACAGGGCGGGCCCTGAGGACTCTGCAGAGGACACCCTGGAGAGCGAAGAGCGCCTCCACGCTAAGTGTGCTATTATGAGCTTCTGAGAGGAGGCCCTAGAATGCGCATTGGGCAGATAAGGCCTGGGAGGAGGGAACAGGTGGCCTGGGAGGAGGAGGGAGCTGGGATGGGAAGGGGCCTGAGCTGGGGCACCCACCACCCACTGTTCCTGCCTCTGCTCCACCCCCCACCTCTGTGGATAACTTCCCTGCCCCACCCCCACCAGAGCCAGGATGTCTGCCTGGCCCCCAGACACCCGCCCCCTCAGACCTCTCCTGGGCTGTGGTTTTAGCAAATGATTTGGATCCTTCCAGAGCTCCAGGGAGGAGGCCTCCACCCCTTCCTTAGTGGTGTTAAGAAATGCTCCGCATTCCTGGGCTGAGTGGGCCCTTCCTACCGCTCTGCACAGGGACAGACCCAGAGCAGCAAGATGAAGTGGGAACCCCACATCCCTCCCAGGCTCCCCTCCCCATGGCCACCTGGGGGCTGGCGGGTGAGGCTGACCCTTCGGTTCCAGGGAAGGAGACCCCAGGGAACCCTAGA